CCTTTATTGATGTTAACCAGAAGATATGCATAGTTGGCTCACATTTTGGTATGTTTCAGTACTACTTCATGACATTATATACAGCTCCATCCAAGCCGTCTGATATGCATTTAACGGCGGGGATTGATTATTCAAGCATAACGGCTAATTTCAGAAACAAATGAAATCAATCAGAACCGTTGAAATCTTCCATGCGAATCCAATCTGGGACCTTCAAATCTCAAGAAGACCACTACCGTTTTTCAAACTTCTGAGGCCAAACATTCAAAAGAGAAACCATGTGCTTCAACTCATTTGGTTTGATTGGTCAGGAGCTTTGACTATCAATCAAGATATTTTGAGTTCGAGTCTTGTGTATGTGATGTATGTATAAATCTGTCTTAATTGACCTAAATATCCCCATCCAAAAAAAAAAAAAAATCTGACCAACTAAATCAGTGTAGAGTCATTGATTTTATTTGGGACAGTTTTTTTATACTTCTTGTAAATTTTTAGTAAAAATATAAATTTTTTGTATTGAAAATGTGCTTTAAAAAATAATAAAAAAGCTGTCCCAAACGAAGTCATTTTATTCCTCCATAATTGAAGGATTGACATTGCCACAATAACTTAAATGCATGGGCACACAACTAGACATTGCTAATAATTAGAGGTTCACCATAGCGATTAAGTAGCTAGTGATAATAACAGGTTCACCATCATAGAAAAAAAACTGAGATAGTAATATAATGTGAAGATTAGGGGTTAGCATTAACAAGTTTTTATGTTGATATTGATCACATATTTTAATCAAAACATTATTCAATATAAAAATAATTATTATATATATTTAAGTCAGAAGAATATAAAATAATTTTTAAAAATAGTAAAGTATTAGGTTTTATTTGGGAGAGTTTTCTTATTGATTTTTGTAGCAGCTTTATAATACAAAAATTTCTTGAAAGCGATGAAAAAATAGTGGTTAAAAGTTGAAACGAAGCCTTACGGCTTTCTTACTGTTTCTTAAATCAACTTGCTACTACAAAAATTAAAATAAAAAGCTGCTTTTAAAAAGCTGTTCCAAATGAAGTGTTAGTTTTCCTAATTTTTTCCTATTAGTAACATTCAAAATAGTTTATATTTGAGTTTAATTTGGCTGCTAATGATTTGATATATATATGTAAAATAATTCAATATCAAAATAGATTTGGGGAAATTTTAACACTAAGCATCATTAATTCTTTAATTAGGAGATTAAACATTGAAAAAATATAAATTAGGCATAATTTCTTGTTTAACAGGCGATTTAGGTCATAGCCTAAATCGCCCATTAAACGGGCGATTTAGCCTTGCCCCAAATTTTTTAAAAAATTTAATTTTTTTAGATTCTTTATGTTATTTAATATTAAGTAGTAAATTTTGCAATTTACTGGAAATTAAAAATTATGCATTGATAAAATAACCCCGTGGTATTTTTGGAGCATATTTTTTGAGATGCATACAAACCTAGTATTCAAACATGATGGTATGTTTTTTGAAGATTTGCATATAATGATTGTGAATATTGGAACCCTCTTTCCAAAAATATCCTTAAAAGCATAGGATCCTTATAATGTTAGAATCATTATGCAATGACAATTCATTTAGCTTGCAATAACACATCACATCAGATGACCTATAAAGTTGTCTGGTCAATTCAAGTCCTAGTGTGTTTTTTGGTCGTAAGTGTTGGTTGAATATCTTAAATCTCAGCTATTTAAAGGATGAATAATAGATACATGGAGTATAGTTCTTGATTTTTGTTTGAGTTATTTAGAATGTTTTGACCATCTATGAAGAAGCTTAACAGCGTCCAAAAAAAAAAGTTCGATGATGCAAGCCGAAGAATTAATGCATGCTTACATAGCACAAGCCGGTGACATTCCGTTAGAGCAAAAGGCTAATTAGAATGAGATATTTAGATGTTGCATACATGAATGGTCAGAAGACGATGATGATTGCCTCTGGGATATCCACACCGAGTTAATTAGTGTAAAACTTTACAAGATAAGAGATTTCTTACATGACGCCGGTTGAAAATCTCTTCAAATTAGGTTCCGGGAAGAGAATGACCACCTTTTCATCCCTCATTTGTTATAGATGCGATACCATGAGATAAAATATCACAGAGATAATGGACATTTCCCGCCAAATATTAACTATAGCCACCCTGACAGTGAGCATGTAATTTTATATCGTAGTTGTATTACTTTGAAATAAATTTGTAAATTTTGTTCTATTACTTTGAAATAAATTTATTAATTTTGTTGAGCTCATACTCTAATATTGAGTTCTTGTAGTTTTCTTTCAAGCCTGATGAGGAGTGACTACACTTTTTTGGTCCTTACCGGTTTGATTCTTTTGCTCGGTAATTTTTATCTCAGGCCTAATCTTTTGCTCGGTAATTTTTATCTCAGGCCTAATCTTTTGCAAACATATGATTACTTGGATAATATCCCGCATTTTAATAGGAAGGAGAAAGTTTTTGGCTTTCTTACTATTTCTTGTGCCATTATTATCTATGGAGGGAAAGGAACAAGAGAAGGTTCACTAATTTCTGGGAAAGCCCGATTTATGCTATTCATGTGAAAACTAAGAATTGTTCTTTCCTGGATCAGATTAAAGAAATTTTTTTGGAAATTCTGAGATAATGCTTGGAGTTTTTGTTGGTTTGGGGTTTTGGTATTTATTATGCTGGGCATGGTGGGGCTTCGTGACAACCTTGGAATGCCTGGATTATTGGAGTTCTTTGTTTGGATGGCCTAGTTTTTGGGCTTGGATGGTGCTAGCTGTAGTTTTTTTGGGAGTTCTTTTTTGGTTTTACTTGCATGTCCAGGGTGAGATTTTGGTTGCAGTTTTTTCGATTATGGGCAATGAAGAGACAGGGTCTACATCTTATCATTCATTTCTTGGATGACCTTATGACAACCAAGAAGTTTTGTTAAATGGCGATTTTGATTTTTTTTTGGAGCTACTGTGATGGTTCTGCGTTGTTTTTTTGTCTATGGCAACCACTGCTTCGTCGATTGCTTTTTGTTCCTCTATCTAATTGAGATAGTGATTGTTTGGGATGTATATTTGATTTTCCTGAGTCCATGGTTATCACTTATCTCTTCTCAAAGGATCATAACCTTATCCTCATCCGTACAAACTTCTCCCTTTTTCAAACTTATCAGTCTAATGTGGAGATAATCTAAAGAAAATATCTACTGATTAGACCATGCTGAAAAAAAAAAAGGTCTTAGACTTTACCTAAACTATCTCATATAGTTCTTGCTATTAATGCATACCTAATCCACTTCTCTTTGATTGATAAAAAAAAAGGAAAGAATGTAAAGTCAAATGAATTCCTTATGTTCTCTCATATTCAAAATAAGCTTCAAACTTCTTTGTTGTTATTTATAATTATGAAGAAGTCATGAACAAGATAAACATATGAATTATGATATAGCCCTTTAGTCTCTTTCGTCCTAACTTTTGTATACAAATAAAAATAAAATAAAATATCAATTATAAAAACAAAATAGCTTATAAATATCACCAAATAAGACTTCCATCTCGCCTATTATATGTTGGTTCAATTATTTCACAATCTTTCAATCACTATTAATAATCAAATTAAAATAATTAAGAATTTATTTGGGGTAGCTTTCTTCCAAATTTATTTTTCAAATAACAATTATAATTTAATTTGACTGCCATTTTTTTTGTTATTTTATCAGTGTTTTTCAAAACAAATTATGATGAAAAAAAGTACATTTTACAATAAAAAATAAATTAATTCACCATAACACTTTTACAGTCTACTTTATAAAACACTTCGTTTGTCCCAATCATATCTGAATTAAATTGATTGAAAATTAGTTTGAGAATTTGATTAATATGCTAAATAAATCTGGTTAATTCCTATAATTATATATTTCTTCCTATCATAAAACGATAATTAATACAAGGTAACTTATAATCTATATTTTGGGGATTGAGCAATGGCTTGTTGGTCAATGAAAAAAATTTGTCCCATCTAATTCATACATGTAGGGGTGTCAATACTTGACACGATCCGAAAATCTGACACGAACCCGACCCAAAAATTCTGGGTTTGAAAAGGGCCGGGTTCTGGTTCAACAATTTGACCCATTTCAAAAATCAGGTCGGGTTCGAGCTAACCCTTTGACCTAAAAGTGACCCAAATTTGACCCATTTTAACACGAAAATCAGTTTTTAACTCAGAAACTCGAGATTAACCCATTTTCGACTCGAAAAGCGGAGTTTGACTCTCTTTTTTTTTTCCAAAACTAGCAAATTTTTCATGTTTCTGGGTCTTTTGGGTCGTGTCAGGTTGACTCGGACCTGAATCGGGTCGGGTTCGGGTCTGAAAAATCGATCAGTTTGCAAAAACGGGTCGGGTTCAGGTTGACCCGAATAGTGCATTGTCAATTTCAGGTTCGATCCGAACCTAACTCGTGACCTAAATTGACACTCCTACATATATGATGCCCTAAACTACAAAATAATAATAACAATAATTATTATTATTATTATGTATTTTTATATAAAAAAACTTAATAATTAAAAAATTTTAAGAAGTCGGCAAGTCAAATCTGACTTTTGACCGAGATCCGATCACGTGGATCCCGTTGGGGCAACCTACATGATGCCACGTACGAGACGTTTATCTTACTTTCAAGCCACATCAGCCTTTGACCTTTCCCAAAATTTTTTATGCAATATCTACATGCCACGTGGCCCGTCAAACAGTTGTCCAGATTTTATAAGTCAAATATACTGTTTCTTATTTGCTAAATTTTACCAAATCGGTTGTAACGCGGCGCCTCGACGTATACACCTCGTCACCCTCGAAGTGATCTCCAAACCAAGAATAAGAAACAAAATTATTTCCGTTTCCTAACAAAATGAAGATCCCAAAAGACACAAAGAAGGTTGCCCTCTCCCTAGTCTTGTTCTCTATAAAATCTGAAACAAATCTGAGGAAGTTAGAAGCAAGAAAGCAAAGCAATTAAAGCAGCCATGGCTTCCTCCGATCTCTCCACCATCCTTCCTCGCGTTGTCATCGTCTCTCGCCGATGCGTTCGGAAGAACAAGTTCGTGGATTTTGTCGGTCTGTATTATCTACAAAACAAAATCCTTTTTTATTTCTTCTTCCGATTATCATATAAAAATTAAGGTTTTTAACCTTGGTTATGTCGCCGGCGAGCAGGAGAATACCACCTGGACTTGATCATCCGTTACGGTGCCGTTCCAGTTATCGTCCCCCGCGTCGCCGGTGTTCATCTCCTCCTGGAAAGCTTTGAACCAATCCATGGCGTCCTGCTCTGCGAAGGGGAAGACATCGACCCTTCCCACTACTCCTCCGATCAAACCGATTTCCTCTCTCCCTCCGAGCTCGACGAAATACGCCTCACCCATTCCTCCGACGCCACCACCGACCCTTCTAAAGACTCCATTGAGCTTCGTCTCTCCCGCCTCTGCCTCTCTCGCGGCATTCCCTTCCTCGGCATTTGCCGCGGATCTCAGATTCTCAACATCGCCTGCCGCGGAACTCTCTACTGTGACGTCGGAAAACAGCTGCGGCGTTTCGTCGAACATGTTGACTACGGGAATTACGATGGGCACAGGCATGCGGTGGAGGTGGTGGAAGGGACGCCGTTGAGGGAATGGTTTGGGGAGAAGGAGATAATGGTGAATAGTTATCATCATCAAGGGGTTAAGAGATTGGCGGAAAGATTTAGGGTCATGGCTTTGGCTAAGGATGGATTGGTGGAAGGATTTTATGATCCGGAGGTGTTTGATGTGGAGAAGGGGAAGTTTTTGATGGGATTGCAGTTTCATCCGGAGAGGATGAGGAAGAATGGCTCGGATGAGTTTGATTATCCGGGTTGCCCTAGGGCTTATCAGGTGTCATTTCCCACTTCTTTATTTTGATCAGATTTTATTCTTTAAATAATTGTACGAAGACTCTCATACTTAAAACCTCAAAATTACTTATTTTACATATTTAATACTTAAATTTATTATTTAAAAAGATAACAATCCGCTAACCTCATCTTCATGGGTGCAAGCTCTCTAGATTGAGGTTTGTTAGATCTAGGGGTGTGTTCAAGTCGAGCTTGACTGTCAAATACTGAGCTCAAACTCGAGTCGAGCAAAATCCGAGCTCGAGCTCGACTCAGTCTCATGTTGACGACTCGTCAAGCTCAGTCCCGAGCTCCGATGTTGAGCTTCGTCCCAAGTAGGCTCGTCGTCGCGTCCGCTGTCGTCCTGAGTTCCGTCATCGTCCTGAGCTCGTCATCGCGCGCGTCCGCCATTAAGATTAGTCATATCAAGCTCGTCGTCAAGTTTTCCGTCGTCCCGAGCTCGTTCGTCGATCTTATCGAGCTCCGCCGTCTAGATCGGTCGTCTCAAGCTTGTCGTCACATCCGCTTTCAAGATCTATCATCCCGAGCTCGTCCATCGTTGTCCAGAGCTCCGCCGTCGAGATCCGCACGCTCCGTCCTTTTTGTTTTACGGCCCAACCTTTGAATCGTCACGTCTGCCTGCTTGATTGAAATTTCTTTTTTTCCAGCCAATCACCTCCGTGAGCTGACGAGTCGAGCATACGTCCATTCGAGCTCGAGCTCAATAAGTTGTCAAGCTCGACTCGCGAGCTCGATAAGCTTTTAAGTGCTAAGCATACAAATCCCCTACAATTATATATGAATTTGGGTAGGGCTGCAAGCGAACCAAACGTTCGACGAGCTACTCGTTGTTCGGTTCGATTAAAGCTCGTTTGTGATCGTTTAATTAGCTAAACAAACAAACTTGAACAATATTTTAAATACTCGATTCTTAAATAAACAAACTTGAACACTACTGCGTTCGATTCGTTTATGTTTGCGAACAACATCATTTGAAGTTCGTGAACAAGCTCGACATTAAGCTCGATAAAAGCTTGATTCGTGTTCGAATTTGAACTCGTGAATAAGCTAGATAAAAATAATTAATATGTGACTATAAAATTAATAAATATAAATAATCATTGCCTTTATTACATAAACAATTGCTTTTATTATAAACGTGTTCGTTCATAGATATGTTCATGAACGTATTTGTTTGATAGTTAAAAAAAATTCGTTAAATATGTTCACGAACAAGCTCGATAAGCACTAAACGAACGAACATGAACTGAACATGAACCGAACATGAACACTCATTAATTTAAATGAACCAAACATGAACACAAACAGTAAAGCTCGAACAAACATGAACCAAACTTGAACAAGCTGATATTAAATGAACACAAACATGAACACTCACATACTCGGCTCGGCTCGGTTCGTTTGCAGCCCTAAATTTGGGGATGTGAATATTGCAGGAGTTTGTGAAGGCAGTCATAGCTTATCAGAAAAAGGTTAATGGCAATATAAATCCCAAGGTTGGCAGTAGCAGTCCAAAACTGGATCAGGAGATGGAGGAGAAGAGGAAGGTGATTGTTAGAAGCTTCTCCATTGCTAAGGACTTATACGATGGAAGGCACGACTTGCCAATCTCTAAGCAATCTGATCTGGAACCTGGAGCAGATTTCCTTGAGGTATTTTATTTCTTACATAAGAGAAATATACAATCAAACAATGGCATTTCTAATTTTTTTTAAGAGCATAGAAGATCGATCAGAATATCATATGAAATGATTTTTGAAAAATTCTGCATGTTCCATATTAATTGCAGTCGAACACAGCGCTAAGTGTACAGCAAGAGAAGAGACTGAAGCAGATGGGAGCAACTGTGAGGAACTCAACTTCTTATCTTCAGATGCTTAAGAAGAAGCAGGAGAGGGAGACCATGGCGAGGAACATAATGAGTAAAATGTCTGTGGTTCAGCTTTCAGAGCTGCTTTCTTTCTATAACATGATGGGTGTGGTTTGCACTGAAGTGTTAGAGAGGAAGATAGCTTTTGACCAGCTGAAGAACACACCAGGAGATGGTTTTTATTACTGATTCAGATCACTTTGCAATGTTGCATAATCTGTATCATTTCTGTGATTTCTCTTCGTGTTTGCACCTTGCAGTTCTCAAACAATGATAAATAATATGGTACACAATTTACTTTGGTCTTTTGGTTGGGAGCTTTAAAGATCAACCGAGAGGTCTTGGGCTCGAGTCTTATGTATGTGATGTGCATATGAATTTGCCTTAATTGATCTAAATGTCCCAAAAATAATAAAAAATAATAATAATTCGGCGTATGTGATATCTTTACATTCTAACAGTGACTCAAATTAGGGTTGTAAACGAATCGAAATGAGTTGAGTTGAGTTTTTGTTTAATTGAGGCAAGTTCATTTAATCTATATGACGTTCAAATTCGAGCTTAGCTCGAGTGAAAAATATGTGGCTCATGCTCGATATGAAAATTTTAAATCGACTAATTTTGGAGCTTGATTTCTTATTTTGAATTTGGAAAAATAATAATTAAGTAGGCTAATATAAATAATGAGAAATGTTAAATAAATTAATCAAGCCAATATGTTAATTAAGCCGGCTAGATTAGCAATGAGCTGAGACTGGACAAATTCAAGCTCGTATAATATATGAGCTCAAATTTAAGCTCCTTGATAAACTCAATTCACGGTCTCATTAGCATTTTGAGTTGGCTCACGAGCCAATTTAGCTCACTTAAACCACGAAAATCTAGCTCTAATATATAGATATAGATGGAGATATCTTTAGTTTTTATGGTAGTACTCTTTGTGTTGAACACATGGAACTTTGGATTATGATGATGAACCTACAAATGAAAAACAAATTGTCGGGAGTGCACTAGAAAATACAATCAAATAAAAGCCTCTGAATGAAGCAACATAAGATCATTAGCAACCGACGGTAAACAAGTGTATGTGGTTTGCCAAAAGATCCAATATAACGCGAAATTGTTCGTTAATAATCTTCGGGGGTGAACAGTGCGACACCAATATTGGCACCGCACTGTTCACCTACGCAAAAAAAAAAAGGCTTACGGAATTTGCGGAAGAAAAGCGCGAAAGAGGAGAAAGACGATTCCTTTTCAGTGAGATGAAGAAACACGCGAAAGAAGAGAAAAAATGGAACTTGATTAGAGATGAATTATTATATTTTTCAGTTTTATTGTATTTTGAAGTGGAAAATGAATTTTTTGAATGAAGATGATCTAATAGAAATGAATCTTTGAAAAGTTCATTAAAAAAATAGCAAAAGATTTTGGCAGCGCCTCGCTCACAAAATTAATCATTCAAATCATTTATATTTATATCACAACACATAAAATTAATTTTAGATATTTTACATAAATATATGATAATATATATTAAACAATTTGAAAAATAAGCAATTATATTTAAGCACAATATATTAATCAATAAATATACAAAAAACAAACTGAAATATATATAAAATTCAAATAATTTTAAATTAAAACTTACATATGACTATTGAAATAATTTAGATATAAACTTTTAAATGATTTTAAATTCAAACCTCAATAAAACTAATTCAATAAATTTTATACAATAAACAAAATCAGTTTACTTTTAGAATAAATTACATTCATGTATAAAAAATAAATTTAATTAAAAAATATTTAAACTTTAATTAAAAAATTTATGACTTAATATGGACCTAAGAAAATAAGTTTACATATTGGAAAAAATATAGATCTAAAAAAAAATCTAAACAAAGTTATAAATATAATGAAAAGCATATTTATTACCAAATAGAAACTATAGTTCTAACACTGTTCTGAGTAAGAAAATATAGAAATAAAAGAGAATACATTTAAAAACAGAATTATAGATTTAAGGAAAAAAGAATACATTTAACACTAAGGGTCTATTTGAGACGGTTTTAGCATTTTATGAAGTTGGTTGTGAACATGTTGTGGAGAAAGCAACTTCACTATTATGGTTGCAAAAAGTAGCTTTCCATCAAAGAAATTTCCAATGCTTTAAAAATCGGACCGGACCGACCGGTTCAACTCTAAACCCTAAACAAGTTGAGCCGTGAATTGGTCCGGAATTTTATAAAAACCGCTTTAGCCACAAACCAGATTGAACAGGCTTGAACCGTCGATTCAACCGGTTAACCAGTGAACCGATGCCGGTTTTCAAAAACTAATTTAACTAATATTTTATTTAAATATTTGATTTAACAAATAAATTTAAAATTTATATAAATTTTAATTAAACAAGCATAAAAATGCTTTATGACATGGCACATGACCTATCATATCATGTGTCTTTCTTAAAAAATGGAGCCAAAAGGCTTATATAAACAAAAACAATGCTAATATATATTCTCTAGGTGATGTGAGACTAAAACCTAATGAAAAGTTCTCATTTCTCAAGTTCACTATATATACACTATATAGATTTGTATGATAGAATGAATTGTGTTTAAGTTTAAGGCTAGATCATCATATTATTATATTAATTTTATTATTTATTACATCATCTGATTCGACCCCGGTCAAACCATCAAACCACTAATCGCTCTTTCCAGAGTTCATTGACCGGTCCGATTTTAAAAGCCTTGGAAATATCTAAAAAAACAATAAGAAAGTAGAATCCAAAATAAACTATGGCTGTTGTATGAAAAGCAAAACATGCAGAATGTTCCAAATATCCTAAATGAAACATCCATATGACAATCTATATATATACAAGGCATAAAATTCTAAGTTAGCTTGGGTTATAACAGGACTCTGAGAGATTTTATGCATGATTTTCTCAAAAAATCATCCACTTATGCCCAACAGATTTTTACTGCTGATACTTAGGATTCATTTAGGCCGACTTTTTACTATTTTTTAAAGTAATTTTTTAGTACTAAAATTATTTCTTGTACTAAAAAGCTGCTTTAAGAAGTAATAAGAAAGACGTCACAAACTAAGCTTTAATGTTATATTTACATGTTATGTAATCTCATGAATTGCGTGAAATTGTAATTAATGCATTATTACATTCAGATATTTATCTAGCGAAACTTGCATAAGGTTCTTCTTAGGGGCAAATTATTGCATCAGCTCACCGGATGTCGAGATAGGTCCGGATATTAATAAAATATTATTTTAAATTAAGCGCAGGTAAAGCGCAACTAAAGCGCAAGTAAAACGCAGGTAAAGCGCAACTAAAGCGCAAGTCAAAAGCGCAGTCAAAAGTGCAACTAAAGCGCAGGTAAAACGCAAGTCAAAAAGCGCAGTCAAAAGCGCATATGACGCGACAAATTTTTATTGGATGTCTGAACTTATTTTCCGCGTCCTGTGACCGAATGCAATAATGCCCTTCTTAGGAGGTTTAATTTGCTATTTTACCTTGCATCACTTTCTCAAATGAATAACATCTCCTAAGAACTAATGCTCATAATAAGAAGCTTTATATCTCCATTAAGATTAATAATTATGGGTGAATAGAGTTCGTATTTATTTGGGCTCATAGGTTAATATTATGAACTTAAAGAATTCGGCACAAATAACTATTGATAAACTCAAAAGTGTAGGGCGTATAAGTTAATGTTATATGTATCGTTAAGAAGGATGAAAAGGCTGTAGGTTTTATTTAGGATGGCTTTTTATTGCTTTCTAAAATAATTTTTATGCATGTCTAATAAGCAATACAATTTAATTAAGGCCTTGTTTGGGACGGCTTTCTTTATGCTTCTTAAAGCAGCTTTTTAGTACAAAAAATAAAATTTTTTTTGCTAGAAAATCGCTTTACTAAGTAGCAAGAAAGCCATCACAAATAAAGCTTAAGAAACCATATAAATATCATTTTTTTAATTGCATAATAAATGACTGATAGCTCTCACTCACCAGCACTTAAATCATCAGCCAAAAAATTAATGTTCGTTTATAACATCTTCCACATATGAAAGGTTGAGCTCCCCAAATATTGTACAAAGCTGTGCTAAATAATTTTGACATAATAGTTATAAAATAATTGTGTCACCCTGAAAATAGAAGAAGGGTTGAGGGAGAAAAAGGCTTTTTGATTTGCCAAAATAGAATCCAGAGCAGAGGAAGAAGCCAGAGATTAGGTAGAGTTATTTCCCTTGATATAAGAGCTTTGCAAATGTTGGGATTTAACATGAGATAAAATGGGGAGTTCGGTAGGGAAGACTCTCTTACAAGCCCTATGAAAAGAGCTGTAGAAACCCAAAAATGTTTGCTGGGACAAGAAGGAGCCTAATCGGAGAGAGTGTTAAGATGCAAATTGATTGGCTTGAATGCTCTTCATCTTCCTCTTTCGAGGTTGATGAAGAGGAAGTATTTGAACATCAAGGTGTTATGCGAGATACTACCGTTCGGATGGGTAAACATAAAAAAGAAGAAATCCAAAAATAGTTGTTTTTGGTTGTTGCTTGGTGGCTACGGACTTGGTTTTATTTAGTATTCTATGGCTGCCGACAGTTTGGATTTTCCTAGATGTGGTTGTTTATCTTCCAGTTGATTTCTGCTTATGGGGGTTGGCTTTGCGGTTGCAGCTATCATTTTTGGTCTATGATGTGGCATTTTGGCTCACCATTTGGATCCGTGACTTGTTGGCAATCATTGTAAGGCAAGAAACAGTTTTGTATGATTGGAGATTACATATTTTAATTTGTTAAAACATTCTGCATAATTTCGAGGACATTTTAGATGTAATTATTATAATACACTGCCAACTAAACTCTCTATTAAAGCCTCTATTAATTTGTAGTCGATGATGAAATTTATTTTATGTAATTTATAAATTTTAATTAATTTATAAATCTCCAAATCTTTTTTGATAGGAATTTAAAAGAAGAGAATCCAAACATTGCCGAGAGAATGATTTCAATCTTTGATTCAAGTAAGTTAAAAAATTGTTATAATTTATTTATTTTATAGTTATGGAGACATACTTCAAAAAAAGACTGAAGTGGTTGAATATGAAACAAGTTGTGAGGATAGTAATACGCAATCCAAACATCTTTCTGTTGAAATAAATTTCGATGATTTACTTGTTGA